CTACAAAGTAAGCTCAAGGCCAGCCTGAACTGCATAGCGAGACCCTGTCTCAGAAAAAAAAAAAAAGAAAATTATCTTGATTATGTGACTATATGCTTGTGTGCTCCAGCATTAGTTTCTCAGCCATATATTAAGCTGTCAGTTTGGGGCCAATAAAATAATTGAAAAATAAGATCTTAGCACTGGTGTATATTTTAATATGTGAAAGTATGATTCACTCTACCTAGTTCTACTTCTTTATTTTCATTTTATTATTTACTTATATTTTAATTGATATAAAATTGTATATATTCATGTAGCATGTGATGTTTCAGTATATACTTGCTTTATGTAAAGTCCAAATCAGGATAACCATACCTATCTCATTGGACATTGATTATTTCTCTGCATTGAAAATATTTCAGGTCCTTTCTACGGGTCATTTTGAAATACACAGCACATTATCACTACCCTACTGTGTAATGGGCACTGAGCTAATTTCTCCTAACTGTATTCTGTGCTCAACTTCAATAACTCTTCTTTCTTAAGTATTATTGAATTTTATTCAATAAATGAACTTTAGAGTTACACAAAGTACTCATTTTAAAGAAATCCTGTTAGAATTTTAAATGGAAATTTAAGCTCTAAAAATCAATTTGGAAAAAAATTTACATTGTTGTAATATTATATATTCTTACAGAGGAATGCATTACTTTGCTTACCAAGTCTATTTGTCTCTCAGCAAAAAGATTTGTAGTTTTCATATAGATAGACACATTTCCAGCTGGGCGTGGAAGCACACACCTTGTAATCCCAGCCCTTGGGAGGCTGAGGCAGGAGGATCTTTGAGAGTTCGAGCCCAGCCTGGGCTACAGAGTGAGCTCAAGGCCAGCCTGAACTGCAGTGAGACCCTGTCTCAAAAGGATTTTAAAAAAATAGACGCATTTCTTAAAATATTATAAATTCAGTATAATGGTTATACAGTAATATTTTTGGCTATTATAGTTTTTAACTGATTTTGATTGTTACATAGATAAAATCAATTTCTTTCTGTATGTTTATTTTATATGCAGCCACTCACTAATCTTGGTAGTTTTGTTTTCATTGTTCATGTGGCTCTTCTAGGTAGACAGGCATATGGTTGTATAAATAAGGGTATCTTTGTAGCTTATATATTGAATGTATGTATTTCTGCCTTAGGTTTTGCTAGAAATTTCTAGGTTACTGGAAATAAGGTTAATAAATGACTTTTTAAAAAATTTGCATTTTTTAATATAATGCCTTTTTAGTTTTTAGGAAGAGATAGTGAATATCATATGGGTCTTTTTTATTGGTATGTTTGCAGTACATAATGATTACATTCATTATGGCAGTGGGTACATGTCCATAGCACGTCTTAATTCGTTTTTTAAATCCCCTTTCCTTTCTTTCCCTCTCTCTCCTCTCCATTTCTTAGTCTTCTTTTGCAAAAGATCTGCCTTCCTGTTTTCTATTATATCTTTTATTTTGCTCTTTAACCTATTTATATATTGAGTTTGTTGTATAAAAGATACCACGCTTGTGTGTCATCATTTCTCTTGACATTATCATCTCAGGGTGCATCCGTTTTTCTCCAGATGACTCAAATTTTTCCATGTTTATGGCAGAGTAGTACTCTATCATGTGTAAGTACCATGATACCATACTTTCTTGATCCATTCATCTGTCCATGGACATATAATCTGCTTCTAAGGTTTAGCCATTATGACATGTTCTCCTGTAAATATGAGTATGCATGTATCCCTCTAGTGTGATGTCTTTAACCCTTTTGGGAAGACATCTAGAAGGGGAATAGCTGAGTCAAATGAAATTTCTAGTTTTGGGGTTTTTGAGGAATCTCCATAATAATTTTGATAGTGATTGTACTAGTTTACATTCTGAAAGTAGTTTGGATCCAATTTATTTTTCAATATATGTGATCAGTGTCAGTGTTGTATCCCAGCTGGCAATAATTTGAACAGCCATTGTAGAAGTACATCCTAAACATCTGTAAGTTGGGAATAATGATCAAAAATCCTGTTCAGAGCTCCTTCTTTATAAGGTGATGAAAGTCTAACAAAATGGAGAAATCATTGTTTTCTTGCTGGGCAAAAATTATTTTAAGAAGCTTTACTATGATCATTAGAAGCAAGCTCAGTTTATCATTACTGCCAGATCTTGAACAGTTGAGCTTCTTTTTTACCTTATATTTTACAGTAAGTGGAGTGAAAGTTACAGTTGCCTAGGCTACTGTATTGTTAAATGGAGGAGCAATGATGCTAAATTGGAAATGAATAATTCCATTGCATAAAGGAAACTAAGAAAAACAACTGTCCAGCCCTACCCAGCAAGAAACTGTCATTGTAGCACAGAACAATTCCTCTGTGCTGCTCCTAAAAGGCTAAGTGAAAAGATCTTACTTTGAGGTCATAATGTAAATGAAAAAATCTCTTATTCCATTCATTTTAATTTTCCCAGTAGTATGAGTTCTCGGGTGTAATTTTTACACTTTTAGACTTTCATTTTTCTTTTTTTTTTTTTTTAGTCTTTTTGAGACAGGATTTCACTATGCAGTTCAGGCTGGCCTCAAACTCACTTTGTAGCCCAGGCTGGCCTCAGCAACAATCTTCCTGCCTCAGCCTCCCAAGTGGTGGGATTACAAGCATGCACTGCCATGCCCGGCTTAGACTTTTCATTTCTAATAAAAGAATTTGCTATGACAGAATGTAAAAGCCTCTAAGGAGCACAGGTTCTGGGGGTACAGTGCAGACTTGTCTGAGATAACTGGCCCTAACTGAAAAGTCCTGTTCGTTCCTCACCAAGAGCAACTGGCTCGGTTAATGGCGTTAGCATTCAGTCAGTTGGACTGAGTTCTACAAAGTGGAAACTTAAAGACAGTGTAATGTAATTGAATCAGTGGAATTTACTGAGATGATTTAGAAATGTCTCCTGTTTCCCAGCATCATGACGCTTTCTTGCCACATGTATTTTTGTCTGTCAGTGCTTATGTACTCCTATTGTGGTGACTTTTTGATGATGTCAATGATACTAAGAGATTATACATATATTGATGATTTACTGCCTACCAAGCACTATTCTAAGTGCTTCACAAAATTTAAAGAGTTCTTGAGCATGTAGATAGTAATCTTTTAGATAAATGTGTCTTAGTAAAATTCTCCTTCTTCAAGTCAAGTGACAGGTTGATGAAGCAGTTGACTTAGGATGATTTTTGATATACATCCTGCCTTTTACCTCTGTGCCATTCTTTAGTAAAAAGAGAGGAAGGGAAACCATGATTGTATAATCCTAAGCAGTTCAGGAAAGAAAAGGAGGCAAAAGGTAAAAATACTGAAAGAAGAGTTTGACTACCTTTCTTTTTCTTCCAATTCAGTTAAGTTTTAAGTTTCCAAATAAATGTATAAATGACGGAGAAGTATTAATAACAGTGCCTGGCATTTACTGAATACTGCTATGTGTCAGGATCTCTGCTAACTGATCTGCGTCCCTCTTGGAAGGATTTCATGCCTTGCAAAGATTTTTTTCTTTTTAAACTGGAGATTCAGTCCAAGAAGCATTGAGCTATATCTCCAACCCTTAAATTTTTTTTCTTTATTTTGAGACAGGGTCTTGCTAAATTGCCCATGCTGACCTCAAAGTTGCGGTCCCCCTATCTCAACCTGCTGAGTTGCTGGGGTCACAGGTGTGCACCTACACGCCTGGGTATGGTTTCTTAAATGTTAATTTCCTTTGTCCATTTAAAATATTTTGCCACTCGCAAAGCAAAAAAATAGTTTCAGCACTTTCGGAAAAACAGTTCTTGTATTAATCCAAGACTTCAGTCTCAACTCATTGGTATCATACCTGTAATAACAAACCTACCTGTGGGCAGTTAGTAAACCTTTATCTCAGATGGTCTCTCCTCCCACCACATGTTTTTTGAGACAAAGTCTCACCATATCATTCAGGCTGACCTTGAATAAACTGTTGATTTGAACTCATGGCTATCCTCCTGCCTCAGCCATCCAAGTGCTAGGATTACAAATATGTGGCACCATGCCTGGTGGTCTTCTCCCTTCCTAAGTGTTGCTGGTACAAACTTTTCTATTTCATTATATGATTTCTCAAGTTCTCTATCATTCTAATTAAAGCTTTATCTTCATCTAAAATATTAAAAACTCAAGTAATATCTATTTCTTTTATGATCTTATAAACCTGAGTACCATATTAATTACAAATTATGTTCTTAATAAATGATTCTGGAATAAATGAATTAATGAATAAATGAAAAGACTTTAAATTATCATGGTCCACATAATGATTCTGAGGAGCTGTGTGTGCTAAATGTGTAACACAAAGTCAGAAAATTTTCAAAGACAGTTCTTACATTGCTTTTTAAGAAACTTTTTCAATCTAACACAGTGGCTCTTACACTCTTTGATAACAGGATCTCCTTAGTAATTGTTGAGTACCCGATGTGCTTTTGCTGATACAGGTATCTCTGGTGTTACTTAACATATTGGAAACTAAAATGTGGCTATTTAAAGCAGAAGAACAGAACCATGTGTTCCACCAGCTACCAGCACAGTGACACCCACACATGTCATGTAGTCTGTGGACAATGAATAAGAGTAAAAAAGGCAACGAATGTCTTGATATTAATATGAAAGTAGTTCTGACTTCACAGCCCGCCCCCGTGAAAGGGTCTTGGAGGCTTGATAATCTCAAGTGTGCCCTTTGTTCACCAAATCAGGATGAAATAAGGGTAATCCTTAATCTTAAGGTTACAACCATATTTTTAACTTTTATGTTTAATCATGAGTACTGTGAGTGTTATAAATGGTTTGAATTGTGTAGCAAGCACAAAATTCATTAAATCCATTAAATTTTTAATTAATGTTAAATAAGAGATCTTTTTTGGTTGAAATTAATTTTGTTTAAAAAGCCAATAATACTTAGAAACCATGTTTCTTATACATTTAAAGCTGTGTTCTCTTGCATTGCAGTGCCTCAATTTGAAACCACATGTAGTTACGTGGAAGCTACACTCGAAGAATTTCTGACCTGGAACTGTGACCGGTCTAGTAGTTTTGGACCATTTAGAGATTATGATCATTCCAAATTCTGGGCTTATGCTGACTATAAATATTTTGTCAACCTATTTGAAGACAATTCAGATGTTTTCCAGGTAAATAATACTGTATATTCCTTTTAGCTTCAGTAAGAATTTGAGAAAAGATCCTAAATTAGGATTTCCCCTGCTCCCTTCTTCCTTGGCTGCCTTTGTCTGCCATAAGTATTCCCAGTGAGTCTGCAGCATTTTACCCACTGGAGCTGAAAGATCTGCTCAAGGGATGGGCAACATTTGGCTCACACAGGTGAGCGGCCTTCTGTGTTTGCCTTCCCAATCAAACTTCTTCCACCATACCCCTCCTTTGCCTTTAAACGGTGCCCCAATGATTTGGAGAACACCCGAAGCATAGATCATACAAAAAACTCCCATTTCCCACCGAAAATATTCTATATAGAATGAAAACATTCTATATAGAATGTATTTAGGGTGCAACACACTTTCTATAAAGGACCACTTCTCAGGTGGGGGTCAGGCCACCTCTGCCCTTGCCATGCCCTTGGGGACAGCTGTTTTCACCCATGGTCCATGGCCTGAAGCAGAGAATTCTATGCTCCTTGTGTTTGGCGTAGAAGACCCACAGGAATGTGGGATTGCCTCGGAGGAGTGATAATATAGATGCACCTTAAGTATATACTATTTATTGTACACTAAAGCTTTTTATGGTTTTTTGGGTTTTTTTTTTTTTTTGCTTTTTTGTGGTAATTGGGATTCAACATAGGGTCCTAATACCTGTCTACATCTCCAGCCATTTTGTTTGTTTGTTTTTGAGATGGGGTCTCACCAAGTCTCTAAGTTGCCCAGGCTGCTCTTGAATGTGCAGTCATACTGCCTCAGCCTTCCAGAGTGCTGGGATTATAGGTTTGCATCACTGTACCCATATGGGCTTTCTTTTTAAATTCAGTGCTAATAGTATACTTTAATCCCACTCACTTTCTTGACACTAGCAATTTCATCCCCCATTTCCTTTGTACCATCAGTGAGAGCATCAGCATAGTAAATAGGCAGGTAGCATCTTAGTAGTACTGTGAGAATAATTTTGACCTCACAGGTCTCCAGAAAGGATCTCATAAATTCTCTGGTATGTAATACCACTTCTATAATCACAGTATTCCTCCAGTTCTTACTTCTCTAATTTCAAAAGTTTCTTACATAAATACCCTTCAAGTCATACTCCAGCTTAAATATCAAAGTGCACTAATCATGCTCACAAGTGCTTTTTGACTTAAAAGTATCTAAGGATAGCATTTCAGGCCCTCCCAGTGTCTGAGCTGGTCTCTCTGGTCTCCTTGTGGATGCTGAACATGCTGTATTCTTACCTTCCAGCCTTTGGTCATGCCCTTCTCAACTTCTGCTTATTAACGTTCTGCTGTTTAGGGTGTAGATCATATTCAGCCTTGGCCACAAAACCTTCTCAGCCACTTTTACCCACATCTACCTGCCCTTTGCCTTCATTCTTACGTAACTTAAATGGTGCATGTCATCGAATGCCTGTGTTTTGTTCTTACGATATTATAAGCTCTTTTTTTGTGTGTTTTTGAGACAGGGTCTCACTGCAGTTCAGGCTGGACTTGAGCTCACTTTGTAGCCCAGGCTGATCTTGAACACGCAATGATCCTCCTGCCTCAACCTCCCGAGTGCTGGGATTACAGGCGTGCTGCACTACACCCGCCAATATTGTAAGCTCTTTGGCCTATATTTTATAATTTCATATTCCTCAAAACTGTTAGCATAGTGCTAAATGTACAACAAGTCTTTGAATGATTATATGAATATATTTTTTCCTAGTTTTACCATTTCTTTTTGGATATTTCCTTAGTCTTTATGCCCCTTCAGAGAATGTTTTGACTTTAACTCCTGACTTGCCCCTTGTCAAATTTTCTGTGGTTTCTAGTTAATGAAATGTGGCATTTGTCAATCTTGGTAAGAAAGTCCTAGCTCTCTTCAACCTTCTACTAGTTTTATAAGTTTTTACTTATAGTTTCTACTTGAAGTTTCCATCTATTAATCCTTTTAGAAATTAAATCTACTTTAAATATATATTATATATGGGTAAGTATATAAATATATAAGTATGTTTGTATATGGATAAATATACAGGTATGTACATGTCAGATATGTATAGATAAATCTACTGATATAATTGGAAAGTATCGGGTTTACCTTCACATGGCCTAGCATTATGTTTTCTGACACTGATTTTTCTACACGAGATACAAAATTAATCTCCTTATTTTTTAGTTACACGCCATGTCATTGACTAATCTACCTGAAACATTTTTAAATATTTTGTTGTCTATGTTCCAAGAAAGGTAGAGAATTTAAGACAGTACCACATAAAATTTCTTGATCTCTCACTCAGTTGGTAAGAATGCTAAGTTTTACCCGTTGAAGTCATCACGTAAGTATTGTCATAACTGAAGCATTAAGAATCAAAAGGAATTTTGCCCCAAGAATGTTTCTTGGGCAGGTGCCATTTTATATTATCACTGAGATTGGCTACACAGTTAGAAGCCTTCTTAAGTCACAGGTTACAGAATGCCAAAATGCAATAAATGGAAGATTAGTTCTAATTTGTCTTGGACTTTGTACCATAGCTATAAGAGTATGTTGAAATCGAGGCAGGTGGTTCAGTAATGACTAAAGGGATCTGATGACCAGGTGTCATTACATTGCCTGGTCTGAGCTCAAAATTTTAATCATCCTGCCTCAGCTTCCCAGAGTGCTAGGACTACAGGCATGTGCTACCATGCCCAGTTTACATTTTCTTAGAAAAAAATTTGTTTCATTGCAGCTGGAGTTTTAGAGTCTCTTATGTTGTTTAAAGTGTGGGGGATATTTTAAATTAAGGAAATTTGGTGCTAATTCATATTGTTTATGTACCTGAAGAAATATGTTCTGCAAATATGATCACTTGGGCCTGGGGGTAGAGGCCAGGGATTGATAACCCAGAAGGACTGGGAGGGTAATGGAAGTGTTCTCTTGTCTTGATCATGGTAGGTTACAGTGGTGTGTACATTTGTTCAAAACTTGCTGATCTGTACTCTAAAATGTTGCATTTTATTGTATATAAATTTTACCTCAAAGAAATTAACTAGAAAAAAAATTGTCAATAGAAAAAATACAGTTTCCAAATACTTCATTTGTTGGCTTTTGTAATATCTGCCGTACTAATGTTTGTCTTTACAAGTACTCCAAGAATACTTGGGTATCTTGTGGGTCCTGATTTTTTCTTTGAGAGTGATGATCACTCTATGTATTTATGTGTCAAATAAAAATTACCATTGTTATAAGTTACATACTACATTCAGAACACCATCACAAGGCAGAAAAAGGAGCTCTACTTTTTCTAGTACAAACATCGACCAACCTGTTTTCCTTTTGTCCCATCTTTTATTAGCTATGAATTAGTGGTGAATTTTGCTTGTGATATTTATTCTGTATAGAAGCTATCCTGTATTTGATTTGATCTTGAAAAAACTCTAATGTGTCATTCTACTTTGCTTCTATTAGGCATATTTAAACTGCAGATAAACTTCCGGGCTAGATTTTGGGATGAGGCTAGGAAGCAAGGGTGGAGATGAGGGAAGATGAAGAAGCAGGACTGAATTGCTGGTTAATTTCTTTCAGTGCTGGATAGGATGTGACAGTATTTTCCTCTAGAACTAGTGCTCCTAGTAGTTCCTACTAGGTTTCTAGTGCGCTACTACTTACTGCAGCCCTACATTAGCGCTGCCAGTGCTGATCTTGGTGGTTAGCTTTGCTGATTCAGAATAACCCACAGAACTCATCTTTCCCCAGTAATCCTATGCTGTCAGAGCCTTTATCCCAGGCTTGCAGGTGGACTAGACCTAAATCCTGTGTCAGAAGAATGTAACCCTGAAGAAATATTTCTGAGAACAGTTTCGGATGGAGGTAGGCAGAGTTCTATGCACCATTCCTCAGGTGTACTATAAATGCAATAGACTTCTCCAAGCTGGCCTACAGAACTAACCACCAAGATCAGCATTGTTTCTCCAAGAAAAACAATATTCTGAGTCCAAACAATTGGTATGCAAGTAAAATGTGTAGGTCACAAGCAACGAAAGGACAAAAGAAGAAATAAGGTCTGGATATCAACTTTTCCATTAAAGAGTATCATCATATTTAACATGACAGCTTAACCAAACATAGGGGATAATCTTTTTCTTCTGTAAGGAAAGTGGAGATGGGCTGGCCACCATGCTTACAGAGGGCTAGAATGGAGAGCTTGTCATACTGAAGAACCAGGCTCTTCCTGTCTTCCTGCTGCCCTTCTTAGTACTAAGCTTCTATCCTCAAGGCTATCTCATGCTCTGAGATAGCCATGGCAGCTATATTTAGAAAGGAGGAAAGGCAAAAGTGTATTCTCAGCTCTGCCACCCTTTGAAGATAGTTTCTCAGAGGTTGCACCCAGCAACCCCTCATTAGTGGATACCATTCAGTCTCTTACCTCCCTTAGCTGCACTGGAGGCTTGAAAGTGGACCTTTCTAGGCCGGGCACATTACCTCCCTGCATGAAACTGGGCTCAAATCTGAAGAAAGATAGGTAGTTTCTGCTACACTACACCTTGGTCCTGGAAAGATATGAAAAAATTGAAGCGATGTTTACATTGTAAAAGCCAAGTATATTTTCAGGATTTCTATGTACAGCAAACACTGTATGGGGTCTCAGAAAATTGCATCTTATGGGGGGGTCCTACCCTCTGTCCCATTCTTAGTGGATGGTTAAGACTGTCCTTCCCATCAAAGGAGAGAGGCTTTCGAAATAAGTAGTGTAGGGTTACATAGGTCCAACAGTTTCAAGATAAGGCCTTTTGGCCAACTGCCTGGAGCAAACTGCCTGACAGTCATTTGATTTATTGGTTAATAGGTTGGCAGTCTGTCCTCCCTGAAGCAAAGGATGAGAAAGGAGCTTTAGTATAAGTGGCAGGATTAAGTATTAATGCATTCATTTCTTGCTGAGGGTTCAAAACAAGGGGAAAAAACTAGATCTTAGCCATTTTTGACCTCTTATTTGTGCAGTTGTATGATAACAA